CTGTGTAACGGTCTTGTCTTAGGCGGTGGACGTACCTAGCTATCATCTCGACCAGGTGCAGACTTGTGCAAGCCAACACCTTCGTGGCCCGTTCCGCTCCAATTTTCGGTCACTTCAAGCTAACAAAAACTGGAGTGAATTTTCCGGTGGATCTCGGAGCCGTCCAGCCTCACCCTCGACGCAGCCCCCGAACGGCATAGCAGCAGATCCCGGCTTAGCGCATAGAAGACGAGAATGCACCTTCCCCGAAATGTGGGAAGGTTCACCACATAGCCCGAGGTTATGATAGTGTCCAGTTCACCCCCACCTGGCCTGTCTCATAGCGTATGTACTGCGCCGACTAACAGATAGGTCCCCGGTCTCACGGACAACCCCACGCTACACGCTTCCCCTTTTTTTTTTTATCGAATGAATCCGCCCGTAAACGTGGGTAGGTTCATTCCTTATCCGGCCTACTACCTCCCTCCTCCTCGACGCAAACTATACACACCATGTCACAAAATTCTCCGCCCCTCTCCCAAATCTGACTTTGCCATCACCTTCGCAACCCCTCAAAACCTCAGAAACCAAATCCCTCCACCCATTTCCTCCAGAGGCGGGTGGTATCGTCACTTTTTTCCTCCCTCCATCTTCGTTTTTAACCATCTCCCACGCAGTTCACTTCTCCACTAACTCCTATCCTAACAATCTAACATCAAAACCAACTTCGCTATCCCACTCGCCCGGTCCCAAAACCTTAGAATCGCATCGAGGCTCGGGCGAGATAGCCGATATCCACTCCTACCACAAGCACCCCCTACCATAGCCGCGCGCAGTCTCTCTCTTCCTACGAGCTCTTCTTCCACTCACCTGTCTGCAAAACTAACCTTACTACCGATTTCGCCCTGGCCAGAAGTGTTGAAATGGCACCTTCCCTCATCAGTTTTAATCGAGGATCAAGGTGAATATCTATTCTTCCCGTCTTCCTCCTTCACATATCCTCCATAGCTCCACACAGTATGTTTCTTACTAACTCACTGTTTTTACTAATCTATCGACTGA